TTAAGTAAGTAAGAATCGACAATAGCCGGAATTTATGGGTTCAGTTTTTGACAAAACTTAATGCGATCGACATGTAAACTTTATTTGCTAACTTGTAGATAATAGATAGCGCACCGATATTCGCATAACTCTAACAATCAAGAATATTAACAGTAATTACAAAATCAACAAATAATAAAAAACTCATTTGCGAGGATAGATTCACAAGTCATCAAGTTTAGGGGAAAAAATATCCTTACTTGTCAACATATGCTCTCCTATTTGCTTCATACGCTCTTTTCTCAATGCTCTGAAATGACTTCAATGTTATGTTTACAGCGGGAACACACGAACTATTTTTCTAGGTTTGCAAAGAGTATATCACGCCGGGAACCAAAATCATGAGTCTCCTGAATAGTGTTTCTGAAGGAAAAACAACATTCGCTTTATTACCAAGCATTTAATCCGTTGTAGGCTTTTTGGAACGTTTGCCATGTCTCTTAGCATGCGTGCGGTCATCAATCAGATGCTGTTATAAGAATTTTATCACCATTTCCTACAATGCTCGCAAAGACTTGGTTTTTACCTCTCTGCCTCAAAAGTCATTCAACAATTGATAGTTACGTCCTATATAGACCTCCCTTTGACAATTCCCTTGTATTCCACTCCAGATACTCCAAATTCCTTTACCATTTCAAATTTTGTGCATTTGTTGTACATAGGGTTACGAATATTTAAGCACAGCAGTATACATCCTACGGCAAGTTCAGTTCTCTTAGTTGGCATTTTTATCAACAACTGTTTTCATACGTTAATTAAAATGGCTTTTGGTTCCTCATTTTTCAAAATGTAAAAATTTTCGATTAATAATACACTTGTTTAAAGCGCATGTATACCGAGTACATACGTAGATGAGTAGATGGATGCTGGATGGATTAAAAAAAAAAAAAAAAAAAAAAAATCGAATAAGTTAAAAAAATTGATGACATTTAACTGATAGCTCTTTGTCGTAGTAAAGTATGCTTCTTCTTTTTTTTACTGACATTTAAAATTTTTTTTGTTGTGTTTTTATTTATTAAAAAATCTTATTGCTTGCACAGCCAAATATACTTACATGCATATAACGAATGATAAGCTATAAGGCTTTGTAACGAATATACTTTTGTTTTCTTCTTATTTCTTTTTTTTTTTAATTTGTTGCGATATTTCTTTTGCAAAGTAATCATGTGAAGATCACGTGCCAATTGAATAGAAGTGAAATGAAATCATTTGTTTGGTTTTTTTTTTTTTTTTTTTTTTTTTTTTTTTTTAAATTAATTAAGACAACGGACTATGATTTCCCATAAGAATTGTACACATATATAAATTAACGAGATTTCGATTCGAAAAAAAATATATAAAAAAAAAATAAAAAAATAGTTGCAGAGAAATAACAATATTTTTACCGATAACCTATATTTTGAATGGTATACAATACTAGCATTAAATTTAATTACACATTAAATTATGATAATAACAACTAAACTGAACTTAAAATATAAATCAGCAAACACAATAAACAAACAACCAAACATAACAGACAAACAATAGCGTGGATACGGAGAAGAAAAGAATATAATAATAGAAAACATGTTTATCCTGTGTAGCAAACATCTTAATATATATATATAGATAGGTACGTGCTCCGAAGCATTAAAGTAGAAAGCGAGCGAGAGCAAAGGAGAAAGAGATAGAGAATGAGAAGCGCGAGAGACACTCTTTCTATTACAATTTACGATAATGGCAAGAGCATGAGCAGCATGCATTGACATACATATAAAAGTTTTCTTATTGTTTATAATCTTTTTGTTATGTGTGCTTTTTCCCGCCAATTTTTCTGTGCTATACCCGTTAGCATGAAAGTGTATTAACTTCATTATTGCATTTGTGATTTCAAAAGATACGCCAAATTACACATCTTACCCTTAGACGAGCGGACAATCAATTTTGAATGTGTTCATCCCTCGTTCCCTCCATGTCACAATTATTTTGTCAAAACGCTACGTTATTCGTTCGATTCGCTTTTCGTTTTATAGAAGAAAAAGGGTGAAAAGCAAAACTGACTCGATTACTGAAAATCGCTTGTGATAAGCAGGAATCGGGTAATCGGAAATCGTTTATCATCATTTCATGATCTTATCCATATCTATCATTATCCAGTGTTATTATCTAAGCGTTTGTATGTTAAACAGATCTGTAATATAATGGCACAACAATATCATGATCTGTGCTTTCTAAAGCATAACTTAAGCCAGTAAAAAAATCTTGATAAGAATCTTAAATAAGGACGTTAATCGGATAACTACCATCCACCATTTAGTAGGCGAACAATTTTTAAATGATTTTAATCTGTAGTTGAGAAGGAGTACAAGCTGTCCGCATTTGTGGAAGTTGAAACAAGAGGCGGCAACGATTGTGAGTGAATTGGTACAAAATTCTAGACTCTTTCCAAAGATATACCTGATAAGCTGAGTATGTTCATATTACGAATGAATAGACAATTTGTGATAGGTGAAAGCATTGTCTTTATAATGCATTCTTTGTATTTTGAATTTCTTGTAATCAAGCTTTCCTTTGAATATCTATGCATTTACTCTTACATCTTTACATTCGTAGAAGGCGCGTCTATGCCCAAATGTTTCTAATTATCTGCTGTACGTACATGTTTCATGTCACCTACTGTCGCTTGCATACACTAGTACGGGATACCAATCACCACAATATACGTATATGACTATGCATTTAGCACACATTTAAACGACATATGCAGGAAATATCATTCTATTCATAGTTCGTTCATACCCACTTGAAGTAAAATTGCCTTTGTTTTCACTCACGTTTTCGATGGAAAACTTTAATAGTACCTAGTCTTACGTGGATTAATATACACGTACATATGTGTTCATGTGTACGAATATGTATTTACTACGTACGTGTATTATGATGCTGATGTTGTCTTTCGAATTTCTTAATAAACTCGTGTTTGATACGATATATCTGTGCCCGTATTTGTAGTTCCCTTTTAAATGTCATTCCACACACCACTCTATCAGATTAGCATAATACCCTCAATAGGCTCATAAAAACAATATACGATAAGGCATATCTTCTTCTTCTTTATTTAAATTGAAACACTGCACTTACTGCGAGTATATGGAATATGATGAAAATCGATATATGGATGGATTAAGTGTACAGTGTCAATAGTGTAGCCAGAAAACAAGAACTTTGATGTTCGCAAAATGTTGAACAAGGAAACGATGACCAATTCTTAACCGTACAATGGGCAATTCGCAAAAAGAAGATGAGTCAAAGTGTACATATATCCCTCTACTACTACTTTCTCTTCTTCCTAATAGACATATCGACACCTTTTCTTTTTTCTCATTACTACTTGGTATTATTTAAGTGTACACGCATATGTTAGGAATGGGCAGAAACCATATACACCTTTTACATACACCATTTCTTGTGAGAGTCATTTTATATCTTTGACGTGTGACTGGCTCAAACTATGATGGATGCGCCTTTGCTTAGCCCTGATGAAGAGCTCACCGTGTGCCAGGGCTTTCTCTTTTCTCTTCATTTTATTATAGATGCGTTACATGCGGCACATTTTAACACGTACACTTTCTCCTCACCTAGTTCGATTTGTACTACTTTGTTCAAAGTTTCTCGGAAAATTCTAATTTTCTCATAACCAGTGACCCCCTGACCTTATAATTTTTAGATGAATGTATGGAAACTTACTAGCGTGAAATTAGCCCTCTGCAGGTAGCCCACATTTTTGTCTTTGCTAAAACATAGACTATCTGCACACTTGGTTCGCGCCTCTGCCAATGTAATTAATTGAAAGAATAACAAAATGATGAGAAAAGCTAAACAAAAATAGAAAAAACCACAAACGTAAATAAAAAGAAAAAAAAAAAAAAAACAAAATACTTGACGTTATAAAAAATCAAAAAAGGAATTTATTGTTATCATATACCATACAGTGCATGCATGATGTTGTGATATACAAAGTATTATATAAAAAAAAGTTTTAACGAACTTATTCAAGTCCAAATTATTGATATGTTTTAGAAGACGCTTAAACCTATCGGAAAAAGTTAGCTTTCTTACTAAAGCCCTTTTCTATCACTGTGAAAATCACCCCAACTACGGTCTCCTCCGTATAATGTAGATGAGCCGCACACATGGACGATAAATTCTGGACGCAGTAGCGAAATTAGAATTTTCTGATAGGTTTCGGCATTTCTCAAGAGTTATCTAAAATGTGGAGTTACGTAATGTCTCTAATGCCTTCTTTCAGAGCTTGCACTGTAACTGTAGCAAATAATTTAGTTTTTTTTTTTTTGGTTTTCTGATCGTAATTAAGGCTTAGTCTGTTTTATGTGTGGTTCCTTCCTAATAATATTTTTTAATATTTTAGTACTTAGTTTATTTATTTATTTATTTTTTTTTTTTTTAGCAAAGCTTTGGGGTATCTTGATGGGCTATCCTCACTTCGGTGAAAATTTGGGCTTTTTCTTTTTTTTTTTCTGCTTAACCTCTTGCTTGTTGCCGTATCACATAGATTGCAAGGTATTAATCCAACTGCAGTGAAAGTTTTAATTTCTTTGAGATTTCTTCACGCGATTCTTTTATTTATTATATATTAGGCTCATTTTTGAAAATAATTTCAATTCTCTGCCTTGTGCATATGGACGGATAGACACGACAAATGTAGCTAAAACAATTTAATCTACTGCATTGCATTCAAATTGCATCCTAACATCAATGAGCTCTCTAATGGTTAAATCAGAGCTATGTACAAGTGTAAAAACGATCTTATGATAGTTTTCCGTATTTCTACATATAATTTAAACAATAGTTTAGTAGTTAATTATATGTCGTAAATACTATAAGGAGTCAAATGTATTCTCGGACGCTTTCCAATCAATAATAATAATAATAATAATTTGCGTTTCTTTTCATTGCAGAGAATTGATATTGTTTTGAGCAAAAGTGATTTACACGTAAACGATAATACAAAATATTGAAGAACATTAAAGACTGAAAGAAGCATAACTGTGAAAAAGAGAAACCACTACAAACAAATAAATTTTGATCTCATTAAAGAATAAATATAAAAACAAAAGATATTAAAAAAAAAAAAATAAATAAATAAATAAAAACAATAAGTATTAACCAGGGTTTCACTCTAAACCGCTTTGCGAAAGTGATATAAAGCGTCCATTCAACGGTAAGGAGTAAAGCTAAAAGCTTAGCGTCGTCTAAGGTCTTGAAAAACGTTTGTATCGCCCGTATAATGTTTAGTAGTCTTGCAACGTTTCTCTTTGGATCGAATACGTCTGCAACAACGTCTAGTGATACGAATCAATTAGCGACTGCTAATAAAAGTGTTGGCAACTTAAGGCAAACGATTGACGAGTGTGCGATTGGTTTAAGTGATGCAGCTAATACTATAGAAGTGACATCGTTGACACCTTCGGTTACGGGTGCCGTAGGTACGGCAAATGCGATTGTCAGTAAACGTGGCAGAAATAAACGCAATAAACAAACTAATAAGCGCAAAGGTGAAAATAAAAATCCGAAAATCGGTACGGCCACACCAATTATAACGAAACAGTTAACACCAAACGATAGTTGCGACGAAGATTTTGACGAAAACGAATGGTTTATTGTTGAGAAAGGAAGTGAGAGTAAGTTATTGCAAAATAAATGTATAATTATTAGTTTCATTATTTTTTATTATTTTTTTTGAATCTTTCCCCTTTATTTGATATGAAGACGAAAAAGCGGATGAGACTTCGCTTCCTGGTAGCGATTCCGAAGGAGATAACTCTACGTCGATTGAGGTTATTAAGCCTAAGCCGTTGGCAACTTCAAACTCGTTGGTGCAGCAACGACGTGTTCAGCATATTAACTCCCATTCCTTATATGGCGGACCACGTCCCCAGAAACAACGCAATTATTTGCAAAAAACACGCACGTCGAATTGCCGCGCTAATGGCTTAAGTGTCTCAACATTAAGCTCTTCCCGTAATGTTGGCGGTGGCTGTTATGACCCCGCATCTACAGCTGATGGCTGCGTTAGCCGCTCGCTTTACGTGGTCGCCTCTCAGCCTGAGACGGCCAATGCGGCAGCTAATAGCGGCTATGGTACTGATATGAAAATGGACGAGTCTTGGTTTGTAACACCACCACCATGTTTCACTTCTATTGGTCCCATTAACATGGAGACGTCACCTTTTGAGAATCTCTTAATTGAGCATCCAAGGTAAACATCAATATAACTCTAACTTGTACATATAGAAAAGGAATTTTTTTGATGGCATATGTTATCTGCTTATTTTGTCTTTATTTATTATTAGCATGTCAGTTTATCATAGCATTAGGTCGGCTGAAAAGCATATGGAAAGTTTTTTGAAACTTAACACCAAGGATACGAAAGGCTCTCAAAAACGAGCAAGACAAACTCCAGAAGAAGCTCCAAGGGTAAGATTAGCTTTTCTACTACTATTGACTTACGATTAAATGAAATGCTTCTCAGGCCGTACAATCGAGAGTGAATACCTCGCGACTTGATCGTCAAAGTGCTGCGCAATTGAAACAAGAATTTTTAGAGCGTCAAGTGCAAAAGGTAAACCTTATCAAGAATTTCGATATTCGAACGTTTTTAATAACTTTTATTCGGTATCTAAATAGAATTACAATAAGAAGGAACGCCGTGAATTGTGTCGTGGTGCTATTGAACGCTCCAATAAGATACGCGACTTTCATGCCACCAAGCATCCACAACGTCGCTCTGATAGGCAGCATTGCAAGATCATAAGCGGTGCTAACAATAACCGCAAAAGCTGCTCCAGCAAATATTAAACTAATAGCTAATAATTCGAAGCAATCGACCGAAATAATTGGAATGGGAACAAGAAAACATTGTGAATTAAAAAGAAAAAGATACAAAAAAAAAAATAAAAATAAAAACATTTGCCAATCTAATCCGCACGAGAAGAACACTTTTCGCAAAAATTACAAAAATTATATATGCAAAGGCAAAGATAACTTTTAAAAATGAACATCACATGTAAATGTATTTTAATGGTGAATATATTTACTTAACATTTAATTACAATAAACAAAATTAAGAAACAAAATAGGAAAACTAGCAATAAACACATAAATATGAATGTAGAGGAACAAAAAAATAAAGAAGAAGAAGAAGTTTTGGACTGGGAAGTTCCGGAAGAAAAAAAAAAATTTTAAAGCAACTTATTAAATTTTAAATAAATAAATAAGTTATACAAATTTCCAAAAAAAAATTAAATAAATAAAATAAAACCTAACAAAATAATAATAACATAAAACAAAAAAAAAAAAACAAAAATTAAAATGCAATAACTAAATCTTAGATTGCAAATGAGATATGAATAATTTCGGAATTAATTTTAGAAGTATAGAAGTATAAATTAAATGGATAAAAAATCTTATTTTTAATTACTACTATTATTATCATTATTTTCCTTTTCTTTGGGGACAAAATAAGAATAACTTAAATATTATTTTAATTATTAATCACGTATTGCAAAACAAAACAAAAAAAAAAAAAATTATATCACAAGCGACAATGAATAACGCATGACAATGTTTGTACGTATGTGTGTGTGTATGTGTAAGTGTGATAAAAGAGAAAAACAAATCAAATAAAAATCGATAGTAAGAAGGATAAATAATGAAAGATATAAATATTTGCATTTTTTCTTTTTTTTTTTTAAGTTACTTCTAACGCTTTTTCTTAGCCAGAAAGTTTGACTGTTTGGCTTATTACATCCAAGAGCGCAAAAAAGTAAATTATATTGAATAGAGTTTTGCGCTTGTAACAAGCCGTTTCCGATCTCAGCGGAGAAACGTATTCTCAATCAACGTATGGGTCCTTGTTATTTTGAATCTGTCCGTCTGTGTTGGATATAATTGTTGGATGATTTGCATACAGCGGGGAAAACATCAGCAAGAGAGCTTAGCAAATTTCGAAACGGGCACAATTCATATAATTCATATCAAGGAGATATTGATTTCAAAGAATGACTCATCTCTATGCATCATTGGTGGATGCGTTTACGTTTGTTTCAATTATTTGATATTTGATTTCTTATAAGGGATAAGTAAAACGTTTTTAAGCACGCTTGTAATCGTTCGGCATAGTTCCAGCAAGCCAACAACCGAACAACGGCATACTTATACAACAACAACAAGAGAAAGAAGACTATTGTGGCTTTGATCGCATTGTTCATCAGATCGATTGATCGTTCGATTTAGAATTAATTTCAAAAATTCTAAAATTGAATTTTTTTAATCAGTTTTTGGAGTATTCCTGAGAGAAATCCAGCTTTGAGATAAGCTTACGTTGAAATGAATCCTCACTTTGATTACATAACGTATGCATATCAATATGAAAACGGAAAAGTCTATAATTTGTTTGCTTCATTTGAAAATATTTATCTAAATTTTTTATTTTATTGTTCTAATGGACAAACGAATAGTTAACGTTGATCCCAAAAATATATTAGGATATGTTATAAAATCCGCCATCTCTCGTGCTATTAAAAACAACTTTATGGTCCGGCGAGTAAATGTGGTGAAAATGTGGCTTTATTCTTACACGGGCCATATGAAGATCATAGTTAGAGCATAAGATCAGCCCGTCCGGCCAAAAAAAGAACGTCCGTCTGTCCGTATGCTTTCATAAGAGGCACGTGTAGCTCCTTAGTGTAATCATCTGCTAAGTGTCTGTGGGATAATGATAGAACGTATGTGAGAATAATACAAATTTCCCTCCTATGGTTGGTAGTTGGACTAAATTCCTTTCAAAACGTAAAGTCTTATGCAAAAATTTCCCAAAAAAAAAAAAAAAAAAAAAAAAAAAAAAAAACATAAAACAAAACAAAACGGTTTCTGCCATTAAAGAACTAATGTACAACGAATTAATTTAATGGAACAAAATCATAGACTATTAAAACTTAACAAAATAAATAATAATGAAAAACAAACTGAGAAAATTACATGATTAACGATGCATTTCAAGCACCGTAAGTTAAACATGGAAGCAACGTATGTATAAAAGTGTGACATAAGATTCTTGTTGTGAAAATGATTTTTTAATTAAAAGAGTAAAATTGGGAATCCCTGCCTTTAAGAATTTTCTTTGTCTACATTATTTTTCTTACTTACGTTTAAAGAGATGTATATTTCTTATAGCATCAGCATAGACTAATTATTTAAAATTTACTCTTCGAGTTAATGGCTGTTATTTTGCTTATGTTAAAACGAAAGAATATCATGATAACTCTTTTAAGTTGAGGAAAATGAGAAACTTTTATATGCTAAGCTATTTAGAAAATCTTTATAAATCGCGGTAATTTGTGCGCTTCGTTTCACACTAAAACTGTACGTGCCGCAGAACACTTAACGAGGCGTCGCGTTAGTCAATCAGTTAGTTATTCATTCATTCGTTCATTCATTCATTCATTTAGCAGAGCCTTACGCTCATTCACAACATGCATGTTAAGTTGCATGAAAATCCTATAAAGCAAAGATTACATAATTCGAAGTTTGAGTGAGTGTTATTAACAATACGATACAGAAACAACAACAACAACAACAACAACAACAACAAATAAACAAACAAACAAACAAACAAATAAACAAACATATAAAACAACAATAATAATAGTAATAATAATAATAACAACAACAATAAATAGAGCTATACGAAATGATGTTAAGCATTGGTTAGAGTTCGATTCTACGAAATCTTTTCACAACGTTTGGCTTATACTGCTTGCTGCCTTTAGTTTTTCGGGGAAATTTGCACTTGAGTGATTATTAAATAAAACATTCAAAAAGACATGAGTGAAAAAGAAATTTTATAAGAATTTCGTGAAAAAATTAAATTAAATTAATAATTAATTTTTTTTAAATGATCAAAAAAAAAAAAGGTTGAAATTTAAGAAAAATTTAAAACAATATCCATTAAATTCGTTAAGTAATCCGTTAATTTAAATATGTTTGCGTCTGTTACTTGAAATTGTTAAAAGTAATTGTTATAAAGTAAAAGTAACACTAAAGGTATGCATGCACCAATATATGGAACAATTTTGTAATGCGTTTGCAACTGACTACTACTTGTAAATATGTTTGCCGTATTTTATGCATTCCTAGCACGTAACGCAAATTGTACGAAATTTAATTATGAATGAAAAATTACTAAAGCAAATATTGAGAGAATTGTATGCATTTTATAGGCGGTGGGCTAGATCTTGAATATTCAATTTATTTATTCTTGTTAAGCACGCATGAATTAATTGCAGAGAATTCTTCTTAGCATGTAGGCGTGTCAGTAAATCAGTCGGAACTTGATGAATATTTGCAGTAATTGTTACCTACAATAAATGTTCATTATAGGCATTCGAAATTTTAATAATTCTAGGCTTTCGTTAGGATTTTTTTTTTTTTTTTTTTTTGACTACGGATGAAGTTTGCCGATATTGGAACGTGCCAAGGCCAAGCTTTAGCTTTCAGTTCCACTTTCGATGATAATGAGAAATGTTCCTGATCGGTATCTTCGAGCATTCTAAACAACGTCACACAATTTTTATTATTACTACAATTTCGCTATCAATTCGATCAAGATAACTCCGACGGGTTACGTAACGTTCTACAGAATCTCATTCGATAAGACATCGTAAAGGGTATTTTATTCCCCAGCAATCAGAAAAAGCCGATATTACGCAATGAAAATCATTTCCAGTGACGAGCGTCATACGATATGACGTCTATCTAATATTTTCTCGTTTGGCGCACTTTCGAAGCAATAATTTCTAATTGAAAGTATTAATAATAAAAAAATGTCGAATCGAAATGAAAGCAGCGAACGATTTTGTCCTCACCCAAAAATTGTAGTTTATGAAAGCTGGTGGAGCGGAACGCTATCGTTTATTTCACCGAAATGGCATAAATATAAGAAAATGTATTACTGTTGATAACCAAATTTTAATATGGACCTAAAAAAGAAGGAAAGGCTTATCCTGTTTTCTTTCCAAACATTTATTCCTTTATTTATTCAATAGTTTTTTCTCTATTCTTTAAGAGATTTCAGGCGGAAATGTATACTCGCGTCTAAGGAAGACGATGATAAAGATGGGATTTTTCTTTGAACGCTGCAGTTAGTTCTCGCAACGGGAATTGTAGTGTAGCGTCTATGCAAAAACAAAAACAGAAAATAAAAGTTTTCGTTTCGATTGACTTAAGGGGAGAGTTTTCATATATATTGCATTCAATATATGGGCATTCGCCCAGTCTTTCATCGGCGCGCAATGGTGGTTTAATTGTCTATCCATTTACATAGCTTACTGCCTGTTTGTGTCCATTCGAATTTTCCGCGTTATAGGAATTGATAAAAAAATCTAAAATTGAGCTGACTTCAGTCTTCTGAAACTCCAAGAGAAAGATTTGAAGCAAATAGCATCGCATTCGTTTCGAATAATTTACGGACTCCACTGACAGTCGTAGGTCTTAAATCAACGGTATGTCTTTATTATGTCTATGTCTGCTTTTGTGCTTTCGCTGATGTGCCTGTGTTTGGTATTCATCACAAACCGGACCTGAGTTTTTTCAAGTGAAGTCACGGCGCCGAGAGATACAAAGGTATAATGAAGCGCTTCTAAATTGTTATACGTGGGTCACTGCTTATATGTTAAACGTAGAAAAAGGAGTATTTTTTCACTACAGATTGCTTTATTGTTTTCAAAATATCCTCTATTTGCCTTAGTATTGTTTCGATGCCGGTGAACGAACATCCAGAACATGATTTCTGAACACAATTCCATGTTTAGAGTGTTCTTACGAGGAGTAAGTGAGAGCTCGTGTTGCGTTGATTTATGACGAAAGATCCGACCACGTTCGTTTCTCTTCCTTACTTCATCCAAGCTTCCCCGCAAACAAAGCCACAATCGACAATTTGGTTAAAATTACCTTGAGATTGAAGAAGTTTTGTTGAACTTGGCTCATTTTCAAACATCCATACAGTGTACGCGAGTTTGCACCTATTACGATTATATGCCTGTTTTGAAGTCTCACCATTGTATTTCTTAAGCACTTGTTTCCACCACTACACAAGCGACTCCTTTTGCGATCTTTTGCCAAGCGGCCGTTCAATATGCCGATGGAACTAATAGTTAAGATTGCCTCAACTTCATACTACATCACATGTCGATCTTATATAATCAGTTTTTGCTTAGCACCGATGTTTTCTGGTTCAACAACTGAGTTTGGACGACCTTCACGAGTTTCGTCAGTGAGCATGCGGCAGCGATTGTTAACTTATTATACCAGTGTTTCGCTTTAGGAGGAAAGTTGATTTCATTGCTAAATGTGGAAATGAGTTTATGGTTGCACTTTTGTGCTAATAATTCATGTCGAAAGTCACAGCATGACATAGTACCAAAATTTTCACGAGTTACTTCCATATTTTCCCTTAATCGCAATTTCCAGGTGATTGTAAGCAACGCAAATCGCGTTTAAATGAAAAAATGTTCTAAGGTAGATTACAATCAAAACAATGAAAGTCTCCTGTGTAAACGTTAGTTGGCTCCTGGCAACACTTAGTGATGCCAAAGCACAAAATATAAAAACTGACGTATGTACTTTACCAATGGCAGTGGCTGTGCTGCGCATGCTCGCTCTTTCGCGAGGTTTTTACTTGCCATAGGCAATTGGGATATATCGGCATAGTTGCATCGAGTATCTTACCTAACCGGCTAAGTTGTTTGGCGTTCATTGAAGTGCATTTGATCTTTTCAAAATGATCCTATACGCGAGAGCTCAAATTTGGTATTTGATTTAGGCCATTTTGCCGCGAGGTTCTGATAATAATTACATGGGTATAATCGTCTTAATGAATACACATGCTTCTCATTTACTTAAATCCTTAATTTTTGGCCACGGAAAGCCATAAATCGTTTCACGGCGTTGATGTCATCGATCCTTGTTGAGACTCTTTTTTTTTTATGCATGGAAAATATACTTTCGCTCGCTATGGGATAGCTTTATGTTCGGAGAAAAACCTTGAAAGACATAAAATCGTACGCATTATATAATGGAATAACATTAAAAAAAGGAAAAAGATAAGGAAAAAGAACAAACATGAAAACCTTCATCATGACCTCGAAACTGACATTGACAGCAGCAATATCTACAATGAAAACTTAATAAATTATGTAAAAGAACGAGAAATCGATGTTAAAAACAATATGATAACGATCGCTGTTTTATATGTGTGTATTAAAGTATTTAGCAAACACTGAAAATGATGTAAATGTTACAATTATGACACTTGAGTGGCAACTGAATAGATTGTGAGATTTTACGTTGTGATAGAAAAAATTGCAATAAAACGAAAAATCAGCGGTGAACACGCATTTATATGTAAACGTAACAACGGAAACGGAAACTCTTTAATAAAAATCAATTGCAGAAAATTGGAAAAAAAAACTCTTGTTTTTTTTCATTTTCTTTTTTTTTTTTTTGGTTTTTTTCATAGAAAAAATATATAAACTTGAAAAGCAAGGTCAGCAGCAGTAGCAAAAGTAAAATCGAGTAGAAAAATTAATCAAAATACGTGGCTATAATAGTTTAAAGCTTAAGAAATGCGTACAATTCCAGCTTTCTTAAGTCTCTCATACACTTCAGCCGAGTAAAGAGCGAAAGAGAGAAAAAGATCGAAAGAAGAAAATGAAACATTTGTTGATATGATATAATGAATTTTTTTTTGTTTGGTGTGTAAAAATTATTTTATTTTATTTTTATATTTCAATAATTCAGTTTTTTTACTTTTATTAAAAACTTATGTAAGATCAGCGCACTAGTCTTGAATTTCATGAATTTCGTTGGTGTCGACACAGGTTCGTCTGTATGCTTATAAATGGCTTTACTTTGTCTGTTACATGGCTGACCTTGCCTTCAAGTAATTTAGTAGTCGTTATTGTAATAGCAATAGTGGTAGCGGCAGTAGTAATAGTAGTAGTAGTAGTAGTAGTAGCAGTAGCAGTAATAGCAGTAATAGCAGTAATAGTAGTAGTAGTATCATTAGTAGTACTAGTAGTAGTAGTAGCAATAATATAGTCAAAGAGTTCTTTGTCTGTAATTGTGACTTAACAACGCTATGTTGTGCTTTCAGTGCCTGTGTGGTTTTCGTATGTGCAAATTTTTAGGTTATACTTATTATTTAACGGTTTATTTGTTATGGTTTTGTGCTCGTTTTCACATTCAAGTAAATAAAAATAAAAATGAAGAATAAATATATATATATATATATATATATAGCATATATATATATGAATTCATATATATATATATACATTTTCACGTACAACTTTGGGTGAATGTCTATCTGTACACAGTTTACAATTCTACAGCTCTGCTATGCTTACATTCGAGTGCTGGTATTTTATGACAGTTGTTTTATGTATGATTTCTAATTATTTAATAATTGCAGAAATAAAACCATGACCAAACCATTACTCCATCTACTTTTTTTTTTAATTTCTTATGTATATACGGATGTGCTGCTATTGAACATTGTTGTCAATGTTTAACTAACGATTTTCTAGTCTTTGTCTTTGTTTATCTATCACATTTGTCAGCCGGCGGTTTTGTGAGTGTATTCGTTTTATGATTTTCAGTTAGCCTACGTACTCGAATTATCTATTTAATATCCGTCTGACCGGGCAATGTAAGTCCATATGTCCAATTAGGCGTTTATCTGGTTGGATGCTTTCATTCCTCAGTCTATCTGCTCGATCGTCGACCATCGAATCAAACATCGTTTCTTCTGTTCGTATACCTGCTTTTTCATCCGTTTACATATGCGCAGTTGGTACGTTTACACTCGTCACATATTTCACTAAAATGTGTTTGATGTAATGATCAAAAATACTTTTGCCCGAAATCCACATTATCTCGTGATAATTTATTCGTTAACCCTCATATTAATTGTATCAGTTGTTGTGAATTTAAAGAGCCCGCTCGACAATATCCTCTTCTGATCTTTCCGCATACTTAACGCAGGGTTGTAAACGTAAATATTTGACTTCATTTACGACATTTGTGATTGTCATAAGCTATCTGTTTTTTGCCATCATCAATAGCAATCGATGATTCAGTAGCATATTTCTTCTCTTCTTAAATGGGTAGACAAACTCTTTCAATATACATATATTATTCCGGTCAGCCTCTTCGAACAATGCTCAAAGAATTTAGTTCTTTAGTTCCTCAACATTGTAACTTAAAGAATAGAGAGTCTACGTCATCATTTAATGACAGCTTCTTCAAAAACTCTTCCATAAATTCTTCAAAACTTTAGATGAATCCAATCAATATGTTTTCTTTTTCTTTTTTTTTCCCCCTATTAACTATACAATTGAAGAACGAACACATACAGAATGCGTGATTCGATTACAACCCTTAGAAAGATTTACAAATGGGAGATGCTGTAAAGCGCACAGTACATATTCTTCACTGGCCAGATATTTCGAAATGGATTTAGTCAATTTTGTCGTATATCCACTGGTTTGCGTCCTTGGGGCAATGAAGCAGGAGACGGGAATAGATAATCGATAATGGCTAAGAGAGCGATATGTAATATTTGTAAAATTAAATCTCGCTTAGGATATTTAGATAATGATATTTAGAACAATTTCGATCAGTTCATCAAGTTTACTATAGCTAAAAAAAAAAAAAAAAAAAAAAAAACCAGAAAGATTTACGTAATTCTTACGTTCTTTCTTTTGGTTCTTTTTTACTTTTATTTCATTTCAACTAATAGAGAAATTAAATTTAATTGTATTTTCAGGATTAAACTAATACAGTTTACAGCTGAATAAATGTATCATAAGGAAATGCCACGATCGCGACGAAAAGCCGTGACAATGTTGTCACCTGGAAAATATTTAAAAATGCTTCTCATAATAATACAGGTAAATTTAAAAGAAATTTTGATGTAGTGGAAAAGTTTCGATTCCATACATATTTCCATAAATCGACTTTTCGATAAAGAAAACTTTGGCTCAGCAAATCCGCGTATAAGCTTGCATGTTAGATTATAAAGTAAACCAAGTTTGTTGCTGCAATCTTTTGTTTTATTTCCTGATAAAATTTACATATTACTCTACTTGTGAATAAAATTAATTAATCATAAAAAGGTATAAAAAAATTATTAAAAGAATTGTTGATAAGAAGATTTACAATATCATCATAAATGAATGATAAAATTTAAAAGCAACATAGCAGGCGAACTGCTCATCAAACTATTTCCTTTTATTTCCCTTTTATAACAAGAACAGAGAACAGAGAAATAATGTTTTTATTTTATGCTTTGTTAATTTTTTTTTGTTGTTTTTTTTTTTTTTTGCCATAAATGCTTATGAATATTATGATGATGATGATACTCTATTAAAGTCAAAAGGAAGTTCAGGTACATGTTTTCGTTCAGTTTGCGTATGCAAACGTACTGGTGCTGGTAAGTTCGCGCGGTCAGTTATGGGGTCACATCAACCGTAACCGATATTAGCCAATCTAATACCACATGATTCTCAGAAAACTTATAACGGAAACCAATATTGCGTATACTCAATACACACAAAAAAAAAAAAAAAAAAAAAAAGAAGAAAAAGCAAAAAATATATAAAACAAAACTCTGATCTCGTAGATGAATAGGAAAAAAAAAAAAAAACAAAAAAAAAAGCCAGAAAAAACATAAAACAAAGCTCTGATCTTGTTGATGAATAGGGTTTCTTTTATATTTATTATGCCTATAAAAAGCGAAACGTTATCGAGCAAAATTAATAAACGATGCTGCCAGAATATACAAATCAACGAGGCACCACAGTGATAACACAAATTAGGTATTGCCTAAAAAGAAAACTGATTTGGACGCACGTTTATGGTTGGTAAACTGAGAACGATTGTTAGATATGTTTTATTTTTTTCCACTCAAAACGGCACGCATTCAATGGAAAACCTATGTTGAAGCTATTGGATATGTTTATTGCAGGTTTTATATGTTTGCTTGAATTGCCAGATAATTTCGATATGGGATGCCGTATATTTCGTCTTCTTTACTACTTAAACATTTCATTCATGTGGTTTGTTGTGTTTTTTTTTCTTAATTTTTTTCCTCTACATTTTTCACGTTAACAAGCACCCAATTTCGCAATTCGCACTGGTTGTCAGATTTTAGTTTACGTTATTAAACTTAATAATTTCGTAGAAGGGATTAATTAAATAAGATTATGTTAAAGAAATGTTTTTAAAATTTTTTAAAAACATATATAATTTTATATAAAATTTGTATGCATGTTTAGCGGTCAGGGTTGATTCCGTTCGCTATCTGAACGCTACTCTCACTCAATCGTCGGCTAATATGAAGAACGAAATAGGACCCAAGTGTATTCCCAAGCATCTACTTGCGTAGTTGACTAGTAACGAATATTATCTTATGGCCTTTTTTCTTTAATTGGAGGGACGTAGAAGGGTCATGTAAAGTATACGCAACTAATGTTCTATTCTCTTCATGAAAACCTTTTTTTTTTTATTATTACTTTTCTAATTTTTGCCGTTAAAACGAGAAACCCTTAATTACCTGATTTCAAAAAACTTGTGCTGAAATTTTTTTATAAAACACAAGTTGATTAAGAAAAGTTCTTAAAGAAAAAACAAGTAAAAGTTTTATAATCGCTCAAGGCCAACCTTTACATATTTAACACTACTTCGCCTGGTATAGTTATTCAGTCGTTTTGCTAATAATGCAAGAAAAATTCATAATTTTCCTGCAAAGGCATACTTTTCATAAGGCCTGCAACGAACTACACGACGTGATCCAACTTTAGCAAATTTAATATACTTCCCGAAAATTTTATTAGTTTTCAGTTCTCTTCGTAAAAAATTAGTAACTAAACTTACTCTCCATCTAAAGTCTTCCTTTTCATGATAATTTCTATATATTGTACGGTGTGAAGAACAGATCTATGTAATCCAAGTTCTACTATGGACCAATTTTCATCATAAAATAGTTTTCTGAAGGGCTTACTGTTCATGAGAAATCTTATATGAGTGCGGGTCCAAGAAGTCGACTCGGGTATATTTCAAATTTGGTTCGCCTGAATTTTATGCCAAATTATTATCGTAGACAATTTTTAATCGTAAAGCATTAGTTTTTACATTTTCTTGCAATTCTTACCTGCTGTGCTATCCGAAAATTATAGCTACGTAAGTCAAATTCGGTAAGGTTGATTCATTTGTTAGCTTACTATTACAAACTAACTTTTGACCATGAAATATCAAAAATTATACTGTTTGCCATATAAAGATTCGAAGGATCGATTATATAAAATCTTATTTTGAAAGGTCGGTATGTAGGAACTTCATTAAAATATCTTAAAACTGTGATCTATAGGTTGAACACAAAGATACTTATACAGACATCCGAAGGACGGATGGAGGGATATATGGACAGACAAGCTTCGATCGATTGAGAAAAAGATTTCAAATCGGGCCGGCGTTACACACGTCCGCCTAAACTTAATATCCCCTGTACCGCAAGCGATGTAGAGCATAAAAACGATTATACGGAACGAGAGTCAAAAAACTACACTGATCGATTCAAATTTTAAAGACCTATGAAACGTTGTGTAGAGTGCGTTCGCAAAAGTGGTCCGATCTAATCTATTTTCAAAGCCGTGTGTCCTTGAATTAATTTGGCGAAAATATTGCGACCATAATTATATAACACATAGGTAGATACGAGATAAACAGACGGACAAAGAAGCTTAAATCGATTGAAAAAATTCATTCCAAGCTAATGGACGTAATAAAAGACGGATCTTTCTTAAATTCTTTTGGATAGTACACACAACTTTAACATATTTTGTACAACTGGTGTCGCCACTCGCCATATAAGGTCTTATTTTCAAAAAGCCATTGTATGAAAAAAAATAGTTGTAGTTTTGTAATCGTATACTTAATCGCATCATCTGAACATCTTGCTGTACATCCATTGCCATCAAGAGTAAGCATTTATAGGAAAACAACGTACAATTTTTGCTATATTATCACGAAAATGGCCGAACAATTTTATTAAGCGAAGTAATCAAGGCTGTTTAATGCTTCGTACAGTCGTGGTCGACTATAATCTTTCTACTCGTTTGTACAACAAAAACGTAATCAACTTAACAGATAGAATGCAGATCGTAAGAATGGCGTGATAATTAATAGAATTACTCTGATTTATTGGAGTTCTCGGGTTAACACCCTTCAGTGCGAGAAGGAAATTTTTCCACTCTGATCGTAGACAAGGAATGTCCGAAATTTTTCGTTCAGCTTGCAAAAACCACGCAGAGAGGGCATCTTCTGACTGACCTTACGATTACGAATTGATTTAAATGTACTCATCCGTCCGTTGTTGTTGTTGTTGTTGTTGTTGTTTGAAATGGTACACTCGCAAACATATAGGCGAGAGAAGATGAACTTTCTCACGTCACTTAATTCCTTAATGAGGATATCATTGATAACTTGTCTGTATACCGAACACGAAAAATTGAAAGCAAACACTTGAGTTAATCTAAATCGAAATAATTGGCAAATATTATATGTTCATTTATGATCGATAAACGGCTTAAATGGAAGCAGAAAAACATGTTGCCATGAAACAGAGATAGCACTTTGACCGGTTTTTCAATTCATTTTGGGAAAACGGTTTACAGAAAATATTCGTAAAATGTTGCTCTTTAAACTGCACCCTCAATAATCTTAAATAAGAAAGAGGCGGAGAATTTTGCTCTTTTTTCTTCTGCCCTACATTATGAAAGAATAACCTTTTTTTCGATCTACACTACATTATTTTATAAGATAAACGTAATCATAACTATAATGGTTTCCTTTGTGACTAAAAAAATTCGAATTTCTACATAAAAATTTTTAGACCACATACACGTTCTTTCCGAGCAAAAAACAAAAAAACAAAACACAAAATTAAAAGCTGCGTAAGAAACTGCAATTCGAAAATGCGTAACATATTGTTTTCAAAAAGCTAATGAGGCGTTTTGTTTACCTAACAAGATGAAAAACTAGCTAAACGTTGTTTAAACGCAGCCATCAACACAGAAGGGCTTATTACGTTATAGTTATATGCAGACAACACCACACATACTAATTGCGTTGCTCATGCGGAAATATTGCGCATAAGGCGCGTGAAAAACCGTTTGCTTTATTGCTGCCACGATAAGAAAAGAAAATTAAAAAAAAAAAAAAAAAAAAAAAAAACTCTAGAGCTTAGACTTAACTTTGTTGCATTTTCAGTTTCAACATAATCCGATGTATTGCTTATGGTCTTAAGAGTGCGATGACGATGACATTTGCTTTTTGAAAAATTTTTTTTTTTTTGTTTTTTTTTGGTAATAGATTTTCTTCGCTTTGCAATTGTTACTAAAAATTAATGGAGTTGAGGCTGCGGCAGCTTCGGTTTCCACGTCAATAGATTTAACCACAAATTATACTCCGCTAAGTAAAACTACAGCCGTGACGTCACGTAATGCTAAAGTTAAGCTATTGAAACCGCCAGCCGAAATCGTAGGTGGTAAAGCGGGACTTGGGAATGATTTACAAACACATAACCTAGTGACATTGGCGGCAAAGTCGTACGTGTCGTCCCCTACCACCACTCAACAACCGAAAATACTTAAACGTTCAGGTGCTATGGCAGAATTAAAAGTTAAGGTAATAAGCTTTTATAGTTTCTCTCAACACGAATTAATATCTATCGCCCGTAGAAACCCTTAAAAGAAATATTTAATCATACGAGAGAAATGGAAAGAGTTTCGAAATTGCAATCAGCTTTGGTAAGTATAAAGATAAGGAGGAGGAGGAGAGAGAAAGAGAGATAGAGAGAGAAGGAGATAATTGTAATTGAGTGTCTCGATCATTTGCATTTTTCAGCCTGATCATATACCGGACTCTTCGGGTCCAATACCTTATCGCTTAGGTCGACCGCATCTGCCGCCACCACCACCACCAGCACCAGCCGTATATGATACAACTGGTGACAGTCCACCCACTTTGACTGGCGGTGGCGCTGTCTATCATTCTGGTCCATATGAAGGCGAGAAATGGCATGCCGAATACTGGGATCGTGGTTATAGTAAACAATTCGTCTTCAATAGCACCAGAGTGCAGCGTATGTCATTCAAATTGACGGAGGGAGAAATTTAAATCATTTTTGTATTTTTTTGGTTTTTTTTGTTTTTGCATAACAGACATTGAAGCTGAATGTCAAGATGATTACATGAAGATACGTATCGGTTTCAATGGTTCTTTTAGCGGATTAGTGTATTCAGCTGGCTACGCTTACGATCCTGATTGCATGTATATTAACGGTTCCGGCCGAGATTATTATGAATTCTATATACAATTAAATCGGTGCGGTACTCTCGGTAAAAATGCTTTGCATGATGAAAATCGTAAAAATCCTACGGTAAGATATATTTTTGTACAATTTTTTTTGAATAAGAATTTAAAAAACAATAGATTCGTTTCATTTTAGAATTTTATGTGGAACACGGTAACCGTGCAATATAATCCATTAATTGAGGAAGAATATGATGAGCATTTTAAAGTAACTTGTGAATATGGCTATGACTTTTGGAAAACCGTAACTTTCCCCTTCCTAGATGTGGAGTGAGTATTCGTCGCGGGCGCATAAAAACAATTATGAATTTAATTTTTAGAAATTTCAATGAATATAATTCACAACGTAGAGTTGCCACGGGTAATCCTGTTGTGTTCACATTAAGTCCACCTGAATGTTATATGGAGATACAGAATGGTTATGGCATAGGTGGACCGCGAGTAACTGGCCCTGTAAGAGTTGGAGATCCGTTAACATTGATCATTTATATGAGAAGTAAATATGGTAAGTTTTTAAATAAATTTTATTCACATTTTTATTAAAATTATTTTATTTTTATTACATGCGATCGAAGGATAAATGCACCCTAGTAGACATTTGGTCACTGCTGTTCTAACGCTAATAAATACGCTAGAAATTATATATATCAAGTTTTGATTAGTGTCTCAACAGGTATCCATTCTTCATACGACTGCTTGTCTGCTTTCCTGTTTCCCGTCCGTTATTTGCCATCGGACTTGACTAAAATTTGTTCCATATACGCATTAATTTAAAAAACAACTTTAAAAAGGAGTGAAAATTTTAATGTATTCTCAATAATAACTCCGCGTTATATTAAATAGTTATCAACGAACCTATAATTAAGAAAAAAAAAAGTACGCAAAAGATCCGCTATTGAAGCTTAGCTTGAAAGATTTAAATGTAAGCACTTAACGTGATTTCATTGTTTTTAGGCATTTTAGTATACTCATCACTGGGGGAGAAAGTGTATCCATATTCTCAATTCGTTTGAAAGTCATTGAATCTAGCTTTCGAGACTCTACTAAACACAGATTTTCTTAATCAGCATCAAGTTCTCAACCGATTTAACTATGTCGATCTATGCGTTTGTCCTTCTATTCGTAGTACACATTCTCTTGGGTACAAAAATAAAGGTGTCGGCTTTAAACTTTATGGAAACATTCGTAATTTTCGCATGTAGCTTGGTCTTAAAAAGTGACCAAAGTGATCGACCAAAGGACCGGTCCACAATATAACATTAAGTGAGAGTAGCTGTGTTTTTAAAGGAGAAAAAATTGAGTTTTTGCTAATCATTCATATCAATTGCACCAATACACTGCATTATTCTATTTTAAGGGAGTAATGGGTGGTGGGTAACGAAGATTCCACCACAGCCGAATCTAATATTCTTACTTTCGGTTTTTAATTTTTATCTAACATTTTTTCGACATATTTCATGTTTTTGTCCATGCAGATGGTTTCGACATAGTAGTGAATGATTGTTATGCTCACAATGGCGCCAATAAACGTATACAATTAATTGATCAGTACGGCTGTCCTGTTGACGATAAGTTAATATCACGTTTCCGTGGCTCTTGGTCAGAGACGGGAATATTTGAGACTCAAGTTTATGCCTATATGAAAACTTTTCGTTTTACTGGTTCACCAGCGCTTTATATTGAATGTGACGTGCGCATGTGTCATGGCCGGTGTCCGGTATGTACATAATTTAACAGTAATAGTAATAGTAATAGTATGAGTAGCAGTATTGTTATTATTCTAATAATAATAATAATAATAATAATAATAATAATAATAATAATAACAAAATGTAATCCTTTTTTCGTAAAAAGAGTCAGCCCTGCCATTGGCGTAATTTGAAAGCAGTAACCAAACGTGATATTGCCAATAGCTCTGATTACGCATTGCCGGCTCCATCCGCAACATTAGAAACTGAGGCAGTTCTCATGGCTATGACTGAAAAGCCAGAACCTCCCTTATCGGAAAATGTTAATCTCTTCCAATCGTTAAGGGTACTGCAAGAGGGCGAAACAGATGATGAAAGCTTTTACACGAACTCGCAGCATTCGGAAATGATAACGAATCAAACTTGTTTAAAAACTGCTACATTCTCGGCAATGACCGCAACATTTTCGGTAATGTTTTGTGTTCTCTTCGCCTCGCTTATGGTGACTTGTTCACGTTTAAGACAAAGAATAAAGCAAACAACGTTATACGATCATTATATTATGCAAAAAGGACAAATCGATTGACAGATTGAGAATGAAAAATAATATTGAAAACTTTGATTTTACACCATATAGAGAGCATTTGTTTTGTGTAAATATTATTTTTATGTTTCATATAATTTGTTAAGATTAAAAATTAATTATAAATTGAATAAGATATGTGTCGTGCATTAAGCTTGAATTTCTTAACATTTTTTCTTTTTTTTTTTATATAAACAGCAATGATTCGAACGTTAGTTCTAGTTAGTTATTGTTATGATGAAAAAGAAAACTTTTGTTATCACAAAAATCCAAAGAATTTTTTAACTATTAATTACCAAAAAAACTTCTCACGTAATATTTAAAAAGAGAAATAAAATTTTATAATAATAAAAGTAATCAATGTACAACTAAGATTATAAAGTCAATTTTTTTTGCAATTTGCACATGAATTTGCACGTGGATTGGCGGAGTGGGGTAATTTGAACATTTTCCATCTAAATTACTCTGTACGCTAAAAAGACTTGCATCGCCATCCACACCAATAAGGATTATTGCAATATAAGCAATACTTGACTATAATGGCAATATTCGTATAGCTTTCATTAGGGAATACTTTTCTTGCATCATTCATGCTGTATGGGTTAGTGACCCAGAATTATTGCTAGTTTTTTTTTTTTTGTTTTCTTATAAAAATCGAAAATGTTTTTGAAATCGAATTCTCAAAAGCTATTTACGTAATTAACAATTAAACTAAGGAATCATGCATGACATTGAAAGTAGGCAAAATGGATCAGTTTTGGACCTACGAAAAGCAAACAAAAACAAAATAAGATTAACCGATACCTGACTCTTTTGATCACTGATCAATGAGAAGGGCATCATCATCGCCAGATTCATTTTTAACTATTTTATAATTCATTTAAATTCATCTTTCATTCAGCTACAGTTCATCTTTAACTAAATTTGGATAACTAATGCGGTAACTCATTTAATAAATTTAAAACTTACATTAATTCTTAAGTTTAAATGAATGGGAAAGGAGATAATTTAAAATTCTTCTTAAATAAACAATAGGCAAGTCAAAAGGCGCTCTCAGGCGCTCTTAACATGTCATGCACTTGTGTACTAAGTGTGATCGTATCACTAAATATGCCGAAGCTGGGCCATCCATTAGAAAAATACGTCTAGTCCGTCAACGACTATGTTCAAATTTACTTGTTTCTTTCAATTGTTTGTGTGACAGATCGGCAGCTCTCGGCCATTACAGAAAGTAGACTTAATTCAATTCGATAAAGAGATACGATTCTAGGCATCATCATAATACATAATTGGTTCGGCCCTGGGTAAACTCTGTGTAACTTAAGTCCTCTGATGGATAGATGAGAACATTAAAGTTTATTATCATTTGACAATTCTGGCGCATCTATAGCATCATTTATCAACTTTACTAAAAAAGCAGATGCCTAAAATATACTTACGTTTCCCAAGCATACCAATGGCGAAGCAGTTAATAATAATTTGTTATCATTTGAATGAATTTTGTGACCTCGACAGCAACTTTTTTACCGTAAAAAGTTGTAGATTCTTTTTAAAGTGATTCAACTGATTTTATACGGCGAGTGTAGCCGAAGTACATATAACAGAAGTACAGATTGCGACATGGGTTTCACGTGGGTACCTGCCTTGATGGCTTAATCCCATAGTGGTCCAAGCCACGCGAGTTATTTAAGCGTAACCCACGCCCCCTAGCTAGTTAGACAATCCTTATAAACTAGGGGTTTAAACAGCATCAGAGACCAGATAACAGAAGTACCGGAGAAGTTATTCTAACCGAAATCATATACAGCTTTTTTTTTTTGTAACGATTACGAAATTCTCTCCGCCATTCTTTTCAAATAAGCGAAGATCTTGCTGTATTGCCAACCAGTTCTATGTGGAGATTAAATCGAAATTTATTGTCGAATAGCACTCCAATATTTAGAAACGTCGTTGCATTTATCACTTTATGTAATTTGAAGAAATATGTTGTTCTCCTCCCTCATTTGGAGGATGGTAGCTTTATTCCTTTTTTTTAAAGCTTAATAAAAAATTGCTGGATCGCCACGTGGGCAGATTGATTAAATCTAACTGAGGAACATTAAGAATTGGCTTCCGAATAAAAAAAAAGCGTGAACAGTTTTACATCCAAACTAAACAAATATAAATAATCAACAAATTGTGAATCATAATAAGAAACTATTATAGTTAACTTTTGTCTCTCGAATGTTGTGTTGTGTTGCAAAATAATATTCATTATAAAATATTTATGTTAAGCAAGTGAAGATACGTAGATTGAATGACAGCTCCCTCCATTACCTCTTGCAGCTGTAACATTTTCGAAAACGTACGGGAAGTATAGTAGTAGTAGTATTGCATGCGAATGCTGTAAGTTTAGCTAATAATTTAATATTTATATAATGTACGCTATAAGATTTGCGATATGGACGACGAAGTGAATTCATTGAACAATGGATTTAGGTCAGATGTTTTTTTCGTACGTTTATTTAAATCGATAGTAAAGAGTTTTATGCAATATTGAAGAGCCCTTCGTTACGATTTAATATAGCAGACCCTGGAAGCTACATATACTGGTATATAAACTTGGCATACTTTCGGGGATGTTGTGAAAAAGTATATCTCGTACGTGTATATTATAAATATTTATATCAAGGCCTTTGCATAATAGGCAAAATAAAGTGTTTGGAAGAGAGGAAGAGAGAGAGAGAGAGAGAGAGAGAGAGAGAGAGTAAGAGAGCGAGTGAGTGAGTGAGTGTGTGAGAAAGAGAGAGAAAGAAACAAAGAGAGAGAGAGAGAGAGAGAGAGAGAGAGAGAGAGAGAGAGAGAGA